AAATCTTTGAAGAAGAGACCAATTAACTTTTCTCTTTGGAGTCAACAAAACTTAGCCAACCTAACCACTAAAATATTAAGCAATTACATAATGCTAGATTAAATAGTATACAAGCTGGGCACAAGCCGGGTGGCTCACGCCTATAATCCTAGCTCCTCAGAAGAAAGATTTGAGGATCACAGTTTGAAGCCAGCCTAAGCAGAAAAGTCCATGCGACTCTTATCACCAATTAACCACCCCAAAATCAGAAGTGGAGCTGTGGCTCAAAGTGGTAGAGCACTAGCTTTGAGCACAAAAGCTTAGGGACAGCACCCAAGCCCCATGTACAATAAATAAACAAACAAACAATTGTGGCTCTGAGCTACTTTTTTCTTTTTCTGGCCTTAGGGCTTGAATTCTGGGCATGGGCGCTTCAGCTCTTTAGCTCAAGCCAGCGCTCTACCACTTGTTCCACAGTTCCGGTTTTCTGGTGGTACACTGAAGGTAAGAGTCTCAGGGACTATCATGCCGGGACTGTCTTTGAATCCAGATCCACAGATCTCAGCCTCCAGAGTAGCTAGGATTACAGACCTGAACCACTGGCACCCTGCTCTGAGCTACTTATTAACTGCCAATCTTCAGACAGGACAGTTATGAGCCTAACTGATATTATCTACTTCTATATAAAGCACACAGTAGGTACTTAATGATGCCAACGATTTAATTCAGTGTCACTAATCCACTGTCTTAACCACCCGCAAACTTCAGTCTCCTATGAAAAAATCCCTACTGTATGACACAAATACATTGTGAACATATTTATGAACTTATAAATATGCAATAGGCTACAACGTTACAAGTTTTTAATCTCATGGGTGATAGTGGGTTATTTCAAATTTTTACGTTTTTTTGCTATAACGTTCAAGCTTTATATAATTTTATGCATTTGTATGTGTGCCCATATTGGGACTTGAACTCAAGGCCCAGGCAATTATCCCTAACCTTCTTTTGCTTGAGGTCAGGACTCTTATTACTTGAGTCGAAGCTCTACTTCTAGCCTCTGCCCCCTCTTTTCTAAAATAGTTTATTGGAGATAAGAGTTGCACGGACTTTCTACCCCAGCTGGCTTTGAATCACTAACCTCAGATCTTGGCCTCCTGAGAAGCTAGGATTACAGGCGTGAGCCACTACCACCTGGCAATTTTATATTATTATTTTTTAAACCACAATTAAACAATGTAAAGGATCATTAACCGTATACTCAGATTTCTGGACTGATGATTACAAACACTTATTTAGGGCACAGAAACATTGAAGTCCTTAGACATATCTCCAAGCCAGGTGCTGGTGGCTCACGCCTGTAATACTAGCTATTTAGGAGGCTGAGATCTGAGGATCACAGTTCAAAGCCAACCTGAGCAGAAAAGTCTCTGAGACTCTTATCTCCAATTAACCACCAGAAAACAGGAAGTGGCACTGTGGCTCAAAGTGGTAGAGCGTTAGCCTTCAGCTCAGGGGCAGCACCCAGGCCCACAGTTCAAAGCACCAGGATCAACCAAAAAAAAAAATCTCCAAATGATAAGAGGCTAAGGAGTTTAATGGTAGAAGCCTCGATAGCATGAGACCATGTGTCCAATCTCCCAGCTCCCAGCACCAGGGGAAAAAAAAGTATGTTGCCTTTCCTCAAGAAATCCTCTATATTCAAGGCTGCTAACGAAGTAAAAATATTTTTAGCATGCCAATATAAAAACATCAGCCCTTCAAATATGAGTGATTGCTTCACATTAGATAAAATAGAAGCCAAGTCCTTGAGCGTTCTATAAATCCAAATGTTCAGCCAGGTGATCAAGAGTTAAAAAGAGAGGAAGAGATCTGTCCCACAGGTGAAAACTGGCTTCCTTTAAAATAAAATAAAATAAAACACGGGCTGGAAAGGTGGCTCAGTGGTAGCGCTTGCCTACCATGCATGAAGCCCTGGGTTCAACTCCTCAGTTCTACATACACAGGAAAAGCCAGAAGTGGCGCTGTGGCTCAAGTGGTAGACTCTTTTCTACTATAACCATGCCAGGCTGGCTTGTTAGCTACTCTGGAGGCTGAGATCTGAGGATCCTGGTTAAAAGCTAATCAGGGCATGAAAGTCTGTAGGACTCTTACCTCCAATTAACCACCAAAAAGCCTGAAGGGGATCCTTGACTCAAGTGGCAGAGTGCTAGCCTTGAGCACAAAAGTTCAGGGACAGCACCCAGGCTCTGAATTCAAACCACAAGAATGACACCAAAAAAATTTTAAAGCCAGGCTGGGGCAGAGCTCAAATGTTAGAGCTCCAGCAGTGAGCAAGGAAATTGAGAGGCTGTGAGTTCAAGCCGCCATTAGAGAAGAAATGATATCCAACTTCTACCTGGTATTATTCACCATTTCTATCTTTGTTATTTTTTTTGGGGGGGGGGGGGGGAATCCGGTCGTGGGGCCTGGGCGCTGTCCCTCAGCTCTTCAGCTCAAGGCTAGCGCTCTACCACTTGAGCCACAGTACCACTTCCGGCTTTTTTCGTTTTGCTTATGTGGTGCTGAGGAATCGAACCCAGGGCCTCAGGCATGCAAAGCAAGTGCTCTACCACTGAGCCACCTTCCCAGCCCACCATTTCTATCTTTTCAAGTTGCTGTACATTACCACTGTAGGGCCTAGGACCTAACCTAGGACTCTTTTCTTTCTTTCTTTGCCAGGTCTGGGGCTTGAACTCAGGGCCTGGGCACTGTCCCTGAGCTTCTTTTTGCACAAGACTTAGCACTCTACATTTGAGCCAAAGCACCACTTGCGGCTTTTTCTGTTTTATGTGGTGCTGAGGAATCGAACACAGGACTTCATGTATTCTAGGCAAGCACTCTACTACTAAGCCACATTCTCAGCCAGATTTTTTTCTTAAACAGTCAGGCCAATAAACTATTTGATATTTTTTAATTACCTAAGAAGAATGAAAATCAATTACACTGAATCAAAACTGATTAGTGTCCTCAGTTCTTCACAGTTGAGTAAAGTTTGGTAGACAACTAATTCAACATTTCTCAACTTTTCAAAAAAAAAAAGCTCTATTTAAAACATATCCAGATCGCCCATCATCCTAGCTCCTCAGGTGGCTGAGAGATCTGAGGATCATGGTTTGAAGCCAGCCTGGTCAGAAAAGTCTGTGAGAAGACTCTTATCTCCAATAAATACCAAAAGTCAGAAAATGGAGCTGTGGCTCAAGGGGTAGAATACAAGCCTTGAGCCAAAAAAAAAAAAGCAGCAGCTCAGGGAGTTCGTGCACACGCGCGCACACGCGCACACACACACACACACGCACACACACAAAGGGGGGCATATCAAAATAAATACACATGATCTCCGATAGAGATACAAGAACCAGAGCGTTTAAGTAAGTAGGTTGCCTAACGTCTCCAAAGAAAAAGAAGTGTGAAGAATACTTACAGGGCGTACATGTTGGAATCTAAATAGGTATCTGAGGTGAGTGTTTTTCAAATTGCATATATTTTAAGTGAAAAGAAAAAAGTTACTCCCAAGGAAGACTAGAATTAGAAGACACTTCGGGTGTCTGCGCGAGTCACTGTGTAAGCTACAATCACTTCTCATTTCTCCTTTAAATAGACTTGGCCTCTTCAAACAATCTGCATTTCTCTTTAGGAAGGGAGCCCGCTAACACTCAGAAGCCACGCACGTGCAGGACCCGGGACGAACCATTCCCAGGCTGCTGGGAGCATGGCTGTCTTCAGGCTGAAATGAGCCGACCTCTCCTTTTCCATCCACAAAACGGGCGCACGGGGACCGGGGACCCGGGGCGTTCCCCCCAAGGCTCTCCTGACCCGCGCATCCTCTCCACGGTCCCTGGGAGCCCGCGGGGGGGGGGGGGGGGGTGCGCGGGGTGCGGGGCCCGGCGGCCTCCACGAGAGACGCAGCCCTGATTCACTGGCCGTCCTCTGGGTGTTTTTTTTTCTGCTGACCCACTAAGGAAATTCAGAACATTCGGGAGTAACTGTCAGAAAACAAACCACCAACCATTCCTCCAACCACCCACCCACCCACATCCACCCACCCACCCACATCCACCCACCCACCCATCCACCCACCCATCCACATCCACCCACCCATCCATCCACATCCACCCATCCACCCACCCACATCCACCCATCCACATCCACCATCCACCCACCCACCCATCCACCCATCCACATCCACCCATCCACCCACCCATCCACATCCACATCCACCCACCCACCCACATCCACCCACCCACCCCTCCCTCCCTCCCTCCCTTCTTCCCTCCCTCCCTCCCTCCCGCGGACTCCAGGCACGCGAGCCTCGGCTGCCCGGATTCTAGGGACGGGGCTCCCACCGAGAAGAGGGAAAGTCGTTAGAAAACCACCCGGTACCACAGCGCCCTCCCCCTCCCCTCCTTCCTCCTCCTCCCTCTCTTCCTCCTCCTCCCCCACCCCCCTCCGCCGGCGGCAGCCCGCAACTTCCCCGCATTGTCCCGCGCGCCGCGGGAGCTCGGGCCGCCGGCGCCTGGGTCCCCGCCTCTCCCGGCCGGCGCTCGCCGCCCCGGCTCCGGGCGCGCGGCTTCCCCCGCGGGGCCGGGCGGGCGGGGGGCGGGCGGGGGAGGGGGGGGGGATCAACACCACCACAACAACACAACAACAACACAACACCACAACATCAACACAACAACAACAACAACACAACAACAACACAAAAGCCGCGCAAGTTTGCAGCCCGGGGCCGGGCCGGCGCGGCGGGAAGAGGCGGCCCCGGGAGCGCCCCCCCCCCCGCCCGGAGTTGGCGGCCGGGCCCCGCCGCCGCCGCCGCCTCGCTGCGGGCGGACGAGCTCCGGCGGCCCCGGGGAGGCTCGCGGCGCCGCCCGCCCGCCCCGCTCCCCCGCGGCCCCACAAAAGCAGGCTCGGCCCGGCCCGCGCGCGGGCGCCGCCGCCGCCGGGCGTCCCGGGGCGCGCAGAGCGCCGGCCGCGCCGCTCACCTCGATCTCGAAGTCCGGCAGGCGGAAGGCGGTGCGGAAGAGCGAGCAGAAGTGCGCGATGGCCGGCACCTCCCACCAGGAGCGGAGCTCGCCCAGCCCCGCCGCGCCGCGCTCCTCCGGGCACATCGCCGCGCCGGCCCGCGCCCGCGCGCGCGCTCGGCGGCCGGGGCGCCGCGGCCCCGGCCCCGGCCCGGCCCCGCGGCGGCGCCTCCGCGCCTCGCGCCGGCTCCCGCCGCGGCGCCCGCGGCTCCGCGCGACCTGCGGCTGAGGCGCGCGGCTCGGCGGGGCCGGGCCGGGGCGGACCGCTTCGCGGCGGGCCGGGGGTGGGGGGGGCGGCGGCGGCGGCGGGGCCGAGTCTCCCAGGCGGCCGCGGCTCGGGCTGTCGGCGGGGTCCGCGCTCGCCCCGTCCCGCGGCGGCGCTGCGGCCGCCCCCGGTCCCGCACAATATAATCCACTCAGCGCCGGGGAAAACAGATGGGGCCGGGGGCGGGGCCGCGGCCGGAGGGGCGGGGCCGCGGCCGCGGAGGGGCGGGGCCGCCACGCGGAGGGGCGGGGCCTGCGCGCCACAACAACAACCCCGCCCACCCCCGGCGCAGCCGGCGCGGCGCGGCGCGCGCGAGCGGGGGCGGAGGGGAAGGGGGCGTGGCGGAGGGCAGGAAGGGGCGGGGCCTGCGCCGGTCCCCCCCCCCTCGCCGGCCGCGGCCCCCAGGGTCGTCCGGGCGCGCCGGCTCTCGCGAGGCCCCGCGGGGTCGGCCCGCTCCTCCCTCGGCCCCCGGCCGCGCACGTGCGGGAGGGAGCGCGCCGAGGCCGGCGCCGGCCCCGGGACGGCGGGGTCCCGCCGGAAAGAGCAAGGAGTCAGACCCGGCCCGGACGCGGGGGGCCGCGGCGCCCACCGGGCCTGACCGCGGCCAGGTGCCCTCCGGCAGGGAAGGCCGGCCCGGCCCGACCCCCGGCCCGCGAGCCGCCGTGCCCCGCGCTGGGAGGGTGCGGTTTGAACTCAGGACTCGCACGCGCACCCCCAGATCCCCACAGGGTCCTCCATGTGCGCCCCAGCCTGCGAAGGCAATCCTACAAGCGCCTCTGTCCCGCCTACCTCGGAGGGCCCCTCAATGGTCACAGCCACACCACCACACGGTGCACACCACGCACAGATCTGCGTCTGCACATGTGCACAGTGGTCACAGCCACACCACCACACGGTGTGCACACCACACACAGATCTGCGTCTGCACATGGCACAGTGGTCACAGCCACACCAACACAAGCGTGTGCACACCACGCACAGATCTGCGCCTGCACATGGCACAGTGGTCACAGCCACACCAACACACGTGTGTGCACACCACGCACAGAACTGTCTGGACATGTGCACAGTGGTCACAGCCACACCACCACACGGTGCACACCACGCACAGATCTGCGTCTGCACATGTGCACAGTGGTCACAGCCGCACCACCACACGGTGCACACCACGCACAGATCTGCGTCTGCACATGTGCACAGTGGTCACAGCCGCACCACCACACGGTGCACACCACGCACAGATCTGCCTGCACATGTGCACAGTGGTCACAGCCACACTACCACATGCGTGTACACACACCACGCACAGATCTGCGTCTGCACATGTGCACAGTGGTCACAGCCACACCACCACATGGTGCACACACACCACGCACAGATCTGCGTCTGCACATGTGCACAGTGGTCACAGCCACACCACCACACGCGTGTACACACACCACACACAGATCTGCGTCTGCACATGTGCACAGTGGTCACAGCCACACCACCACATGCGTGTACACACACCGCGCACAGATCTGCTTCTGCACATGTGCACAGTGGTCACAGCCACACCACCACACGGTGCACACCACGCACAGATCTGCGTCTGCACATGTGCACAGTGGTCACAGCCACACCACCACACGCGTGTGCACACCACGCACAGATCTGCGTCTGCACATGGCACAGTGGTCACAGCCACACCACCACACGGTGTGCACACCATGCATAGATCTGCGTCTGCACATGTACACACCTGATCAAACTCAATCCCGCCACTCACCAGTGACTCCCCTCTGTTCATGAGAATCCCATCCGGCCTCCTAACTGCCATCCTCCCTCCCCAGCCCTTCCAACCCAGGGCTGATCTCCTCCTGCCAAACTGGTGCCTACACCCAGGGGCTTACCCCACCTCCTCCCTTCTGGCTGGGCTGGTCCCCTGCCACCCGCAGAGGGACTGCCCTGCCTGACTCCTGCCCAGCCCTTCCGGTGTCCTCCTTCCAGTGGTACGCAAGCCTTTTACCGTGACTGCCGTTACCCTTTCTTCTCTAGTAGAGTACATTTTTAGGGGAGATCCTCCCTGACATGTGCCAACTGAGTGATTCATTTGTATAATGATATGAGTCATGTCACCTACCATAAGAAATTCAGGCCAGATGCCAGTGGCTCGTGCCTATCATCCTGGTTACTCAGGAGGCTGAGATCTGAGGACTGTGGTTCAAAGCCAGCCTGGGCAGGAACGTCCATGAGACTCTTATATCCAATGAACCCCCAGAAAATCAGAAGTGGAGCTGTGGCTCAAAGTGGTAGAGTGCTCATCTTGAGCGAAAAAGCTCAGGGACAGCGCCCAGGCTATGGAGTTCAAGCTGCATGAGACAAAATAAAAAGTGGTAGAGAGCTAGCCTTGAGCAAAAAGATCTCAGGGACAATGCACAGGCTATGAGTTCAAGACCCACAACCACCACCAACAACAACAAAAAAAAAAAGCAAGAAATTCAAAACTCCTCAAAGCCTAGTATGACTTACCTCCCTCCCTTGCCCTCTCTTCCTCCTCTCCTTCCTCCCTCCCTCTCTTCCTCTCTTCTACTCTCTCCTTCCTTTCCGTTCTCCCCCAGTGCCTTCCTCCTTCTCTTAGCCTCCCTCCTTCCCTGAATTGTTTGAAGGAAGAAAGTATTAGAAACTACAGGATATAATTTATTGACAAAGTTTAGGATAAAAGAAATATATGGGAAGGTGGCTCAGTGGTAGAATGCTTGCTTCGCATGCATGAGGCCCTGGGTTCAATTCCACAGCACCACATAAGCAGAAAAAAGCCAGAAGTGGCACTGTAGCTCAAGTGGTGGAGGTCAGCATTGAACTGAAGAGCTGAGGGACAGTGCTCAGGCCTAGAGTTTGAACTTGAGCCCTATGACCAACAAAAAAAAAAAAAGAAGAAGAAGAAGAAGAAAAAAGAAATATATATATATATATATATATATATGTATATGGAGTTTGAGCTTAATGGTAGAATACTTACCAAGTACGAAGAACAAAAGTAGGAGCCAAAGTCACTGTGACCAGGTATGGTGGACTTTATGCCTTGGGAGAGGCAGGAGGGTTGGTGAACACAGATCCAACTTGTGCTGTCTCAAGATGCTGTCAGAAATTAAAAATTAAAACTATATATATATATGTATGTATATCACTGTGAATAGACAATCTGGCCTCAGAAATCCTCTGACTAACCCTTTCATGCTCCCTTTTAGTATGCTTCTGTTTTCCAGGGATTATCCATCCAGCAGTTGGGAGTAGCCAGGCTCCCCTTAGACACACCTGTCCTCGGAGCCCCTTTAGAACGACATCTTCTCATTCCTGTGAATTGCAGTTTTCGCTACAGTGGCAAAGCCACTGTAGGCCAAGGCTATGGATCTTTGCCCCTAAGATGGGCAATTTGTTATTGCCATGAACTGCAAGGCACAACCCCCCCCCCCCCCCCGCCCCAACCCTGCTGAGAGGCTGCAGCGGGCAGCCAGGCTCCACCAGCGTGGACTGGGCACAGGTCCTGTGGAGTTTCTGTTTTGTTTTTACAGACTAGAGATAGAACTTCAGGTCTCACACAGTGTCTCGGCGTGCTACCAATGGACTACGCTCCCAACCTCACACAGCCATGAAAAGAGAGATGACAAAGGTTGGCAAACTTAGAACTCAACGGGAGAGAGTCCAAAGGGGCTGAGAGACTCCTTTCTACCTCCGACCTTGAATCTCAGGACTGGAGGTCGGGAGTGGAACTCAGTGGTAGAGAACTTGCCTAGCATGTATGATGTACCACAAAAGAATAAAACAAACCCTGCCCTCTTTGTCGGTCCTGGAGCTTGAACTCAGGACCTGGGCACTGTCCCTGAGCTGCTTTTGGCTCAAGGATGGCACTCTACCACTTGAGCCACTTCTGACTTTTTCTGTTTATGTGGTACCAATCGAAACCAGGACTTCCTGCACTCTACCACTCTACCACTGAGCCATATTTCCAGCCTTAAAGTCCTGCTAGAGAGCTGTTGTTGCATTCTCTTCTACAAGCTGTATACGAGAACTCTCTCCCTCTTGCTACCCCTGAGTTGCTTAGTCCATGTTTATGCTTCTCCAAAATTCCTCTCTGAATTCCTGAGTGTCCTGCCACAGCCTAGCTCATTGTGACATCTCGCCTTGTTCTTGACACAGGTCAAACAGCTTTGTAGCAACTCAATTCTCAGCGCCATTCAGAAGCTGGTGAATCTTAATGAGTTCTTCCTTTAATCTCTTCTCAAAAGGCCTAGGATCCTTAATTTCTCTAACTTTCTTTTAAATTATTTTAGCTCCTGGGTTATTTCCTTGGCCTCAGACCATCCCTGCTCGGTTTAAAGGCCACTTTATTTTGGTTGACAAACGGCGCAGGGTTGTACATATTGGGTCTCAAACTCCTCAGCAGTGCCTCAATTTCTCTCCCCCCCCCCCCCTTAGTTTTACTCACTTTGAAATTCACATTCAGGTAGAAATATCAGTTTCAGGCCTCTCAAGTTTCTAATTCGATCGATAAAATGGTAAGATTGTCCACTTAGTATAAAGCCTTAAGTATACACAGCGTTAAAGTTATAAAGAGTGGTTAGAAATAATCTAATCTAGTTGTTCCCTGTAGAGAGCTCAGAGGAGAAAATATCTTCGTGTGTGCTGCAATTTCCTGAGGAAGAAGGGTCTCCAATTGGAAAGAAAAAAAACAGCGGGTTCCCTGTATTCAGAACTTTAAACCTTTAATACAATTTTATTAAGGAAGTTAATTTAGAAACTTGTTATTTATAAAAGTTCCAGGCCAACCTGCAGCATAAAC